ATTATGAAACACGTGGCTACTTGCTGAAGAGCACTGCATTCGAGACAGCCAAACATGTGCTGAGGTGGAAATCGTTGAGCGGCTGATGTAAAAGTTCGAAGCAATTTTTCTTACGGTAAATTATTCTTCTAGAATAGGTAATGGTCAGTCAGAAAGGCGGCTACCATTATCTGAGAGGGACTCAAAATCCTTGCCTGCCCGGACACTGCTTTGAAAATAGCTGTTAATGCCATGAAAGAACATAGTCGAGACCAAAAATTCGTGTTCAAGTAAAGTATTCGAGCATTTCGAATAATTCGATTTGATATTCAAAAATTCGAAGAAGCGCAAGATTATCTGAATAGTTGAATAATTCATCAACATTCAAATAATCGAGTTTGAATGGAGATTCGAATATATCCGATTGTTCGAATGTCTGCAAAATTATCGAGTATTCCATTCGATCGAATACTTGCGAAATCATTGAATATGATTAAGATTGACTATTTATGCTGACTGAAATATTCGAACAAATCGATTATATACCATTCGAATATTCGAATATTCGGTCATCAACTATTCGATGGTTTGAATAGTCAAATATCAGGGTCCCTACAATTCGAAATTCCAATTTGAATATATTTTTTGGCGATTTGAATAATATTCATTCGTTCGAATTTTCTTCTTGCGAACAAATATTTGATACTCGTTCGCTCGAAAAAATTTTCCAATTTTTCAACTATAACCAGGATCACAAAGAGAACAAGTGGGAGAGCATGTCCATCGAACCGTAATGGTCAGCAAGCAATAAGTGCAAAATTTCCTATCTACTAGCTAACTCGAAAAAAAAAACTCGATAAAACAAAAACTGAGTCGGATTTATGAGTGCATCAAGCGAAAGTTTTCATCTAATAATTTTTAGTAGTGCACTTTTGACAATTGCATATTGAGGGCAGGAGATTGCAAAAGGGAAATCCCGTGTTGCAAGCATGCTTAACGATTACATTCACTCAATTAATCGTGATAATTTGGAAAAAAGTTAGCATATATCAAATTATTTAGATCAAATCAAGTGTATTTAAAGTAAATACCGGAGGACGTTGGGGTCATTCGCGTCCTCTGGTTCATCGTACACCTCCATTCGACTTTGATTCACACAATTTTTAGCAATTGATCTGAAAAGGTATCAATTTCCAAACAGTTACTGTTTTGGAACAACATCCTACCTAAATTTTTCTTTGTCCTCCCTCCACATCGTCGCTGCTGCAGGATTTGCGCTCGACTCAGGGTCAAACTCGAAAGAAAAGAAGAGTCTCTATAACTCTTCCTAGTGGAATAACAAAGGGAAAACAAAAAATATTTTAAGTCATTACCTGAACTACAAGGAGAACGTTCTGGATGTGATGCTTGTCCTTTTTCCAGCCGTCCGGAAAATACCGGGTGAGATCAGGTCGACGACTTGTCGGGTCAATATTGGGATGAAAAATGAACAAATCGAATTTTACTGTCTGAAAATAAATGAAATTGCAGACAGTCTTATCAAAAAAAACATAGATCAACATTCGCAATATGTCTCCAAAGAAACTTCAAAGTACATGCGAAATTGCCCGACTCTTTCAAAGATTATGCAAGAAAACTAGCAGTATAGACGGCTCTCGCATGAGGGAAGATACTATATTTAAAAACTGTACAAAATCCAACAAGAAGCAGCGCATAGTTAAGGTCTTGCCAAATTCTGCACATTGAAACGATACTGGTACTTATTAGTCAATATTTATTTCGTAGCTTACTATAGAACAAATACCATGAAAGTCGCATTTCCTAAAGATACTTCGTTCAGAAAAATGTATAAAACGTAGTCAACCTTCAGGATTGAAAGCTAAGTTGTGAAATGAAGCCAGCTATCTATGTTCTTTCCAAAAATATACGCTAGACTAACTTTCTATGCTATCCGATGGAGAAAAATTCAAATGAATTGCATAAGAAATTAGAATTCTATTACAAGCGCAAAAAGCAAAAACCGACCGGAAGAGATGTGGTATTGGGAAAATCCTTGGGAATCCGCACGTTGAAGCGAAAGATGCCACCACCGTATATCCCACGGCGGATAAACAGTAGTCCAAACCAAGCTGCAACAAATCAGTGGACCATTACGAGCGGAACAAAAAAAAAAACATTTAAACTTGCTGAATTGATCGCAGGCGCTAGGAATGACATACATCCCATCAATGGGTTGGCGGCACACCCGTGCGCTACAAATGCCGTGACTATGTGCGACATGTAAAACAAGAAAAGGTAACCCACAATTCGCTTGACAGTGCATGCCTAGATAACTGCGATGGGAGAATTCTGAGCGGCTCAGCAGCTCTAGCTTCAACTGCAAATTCATACGCGTGATTTACATCCTCGCCGGTAGCTAGTGATTGCGCTAGCCTCATCTTCGGGTGTTTTCACCTTGAATTAG